GTTTTGGGGTGATTTTGGGGGATTTTGGGGTCTCTCACCAGGCACAGCTCCAGCTGGTCGCACAGGGGGTTTGGGGGAGGTTTTTGGGGTGATTTTGGGGTTGTTTTGGGGTGATTTTGGGGGATTTTGGGGTCGCTCACCAGGCACAGCTCCAGCTGATCGCACAGGGCGTAGAACTCCTCCAGGCTCTTGTCAAAGCGCTGCAGGGCCCCGTCAGCGCTCTTCCTGCGGGAACTGGTGAGACTGGGGGCACTGGGGGGACTGGGAGGGACTGGGATGAACTGGGATGAACTGGGAGGGACTGGGAGGGACTGGGAGGGCAGTGGGATGAACTGGGAGGGACTGGCATGAACTGGGAGGGGCTGGGAGGGCAGTGGGATGAACTGGGATGAACTGGGATGAACTGGGAGGGGCTGGGAGGCACTGGGATGAACTAGGAGGGGCTGGGAGGGCAGTGGGATGAACTGGGATGAACTGGGATGAACTGGGAGGCACTGGGATGAACTGGGAGGGGCTGGGAGGGCAGTGGGATGAACTGGGATGAACTGGGATGAACTGGGAGGGGCTGGGAGGGCAGTGGGATGAACTGGGATGCACTGGGATGAACTGGGAGGGGCTGGGAGGCTCGGGGGTTACTCACTGCCCGTTGTCGATGTTGGAGTTCTGCACCAGGTTCTGAGCCGCCACCTTCATCAGGGTCTGCGGGACAGGGGGACAAGAGGGGGTCACGGGGGGGTCACGGGGTCACGGGGGGGTCACGGGGCACCCGCAGCGTCCCCCGTGCCCCCAAAATCCCGGGGGACCCCTCATGAGACACGCCCCCTGCTGCGAACCCCGCCCATTCTTTGCGGCAAACCCCGCCCATTATCGGCAGCAAACCCCGCCCTTTATCGGCGGCAGACCCCGCCCGTTCCCGGCGGCAAACCCCGCCAGTTCCCTGCGGCAAACTCCGCCCATTATCGGCAGCAAATCGCGCCCCCTTCCGGTGACAACCCCCGCCTTTTTTGGTGGAAACACAGCCCCCTTTCGGCGGCAAACTCCGCCCCTTTTAGGCGGCAAACCCCGCCTTTTCTGGTGCCAAACCCCGCCTTTTCCGGTGGAAACCCCGCCCATTATCGGCGGAAAACCCCGCCTTTTCCGGTGTTAAACCCCGCCTTTTCCGGTGGAAACCCCGCCTTTTCCGGTGGAAACCCCGCCTTTTCCGGTGTTAAACCACGCCTTTTCCGGTGGAAACCCCGCCTTTTTTGGCGGCAAACCCCGCCTTTTCCGGTGTCAAACCCCGCCTTTTCCGGTGGAAACCCCGCCTTTTCCGGTGCCAAGATCAGCCTTTTCCGGTAAAAACCCCGCCCATTATCGGCGGCAAACCCCGCCTTTTCCGGTGGAAACCCCGCCTTTTCCGGTGCCAAGACCCGCCTTTTCCGGTAAAAACCCCGCCTTTTTTCGGCGGAAAACTCCGCCCCTTTTAGGCGGCAAACCCGCCTTTTCCGGTGCCAAACCCCGCCTTTTCCGGTGAAAACCCCGCCCCCTTTCGGCGGCAAACCCCGCCCGTTCTCTGCGGCAAACCCCGCCCATTCTCTGCGGCAAACCCCGCCCGTTCCCGGCGGCAAACCCCGCCCCTTGCCGGCGGCAAACCCCGCCCATTCCCGGCGGCAAACGCCGCCCCTTATCGGCGGCAAACCACGCCCGTTCCCGGTGGCAAACCCCGCCCATTCCCTGCGGCAAACCCCGCCCCTTATCTGCGGCAAACCCCGCCCCTTATCTGCGGCAAACCCCGCCCGTTATCTGCGGCAAACCCCGCCCCTTATCTGCGGCAAACCCCGCCCATTATCTGCGGCAAACCCCGCCCCTTATCGACGGCAAACCCCGCCCGTTCCCGGCGGCAAACCCCGCCCCTTATCTGCGGCAAACCCCGCCCGTTACCGGCGGCAAACCCCGCCCATTCCCTGCGGCAAACCCCGCCCGTTATCTGCGGCAAACCCCGCCCGTTCCCGGCGGCAAACCCCGCCCGTTCCCGGCGGCAAACCCCGCCCGTTATCTGCGGCAAACCCCGCCCGTTCCCGGCGGCAAACCCCGCCCCTTATCGACGGCAAACCCCGCCCATTCCCGGCGGCAAACCCCGCCCGTTCCCGGCGGCAAACCCCGCCCGTTCCCACCTGCAGGCTCTCCTTCAGCTGCGGCAGCAGCAGCCGGAAGCGCTGCACGGGCTCGAAGTCCTGCGCCTGCACGGCCGCCGCCTGCGCGGGCAGCGCGGGGCCCTGCGCGGCCCCCGGGGGCGGCCCCGGCCCGGCCGCGGGCCCCGCCGCCGCCGCCGGCCCCGCCGCCGCCGCTGAGGGAGGCCCCGGGCCCGGCGCGGCGGGCGGCGGAGGCGCCGCCATGCCGCGCGGCACTTCCGGCGCGCGGCGCGTGACGCGTTCCGGGCGCGCCGCGCGGGGCCCGCCATGGCGCCCACCATCCAAACGCAGGCGCAGCGCGATGAGCCGGGGCACCGGTAACGGCCGTGACGTCACCGCCGCGGCGGGGGCGGGGCGGGAGGGGGTTTCCCCGTGACGTCACGCCGCGGCGGGCGGGAGAATGCGAGTAACGGGGACCCCCGTGACGTCACGGGAGCATCGGGGACCCCCGTGACGTCATGACGCGCCCCCCCCTCCCCGCAGGCCGAGCTCGCACCGGACCCTCCCCGAGAGGTGAGCGGGGGGCGGTGGAGGGGTCCCGGGCCGGGTTTGGGGTGAATCCCGGCGGTTTCGGGGCTCCCGCGGCCCCCGGCCGGGTTTGGGGTGAAATCCGGGGGTTTCGGGTCCCGCCGCAGGTCCGGGGTCGTTTGCCGGGTCAAGTTCTGCAACGGCCTCCCGGACATCCCGTTCGACCCCAAGTTCATCACGTACCCCTTCGACCAGAGCAGGTCCGGCACCGGGGCACCGGGTTAACGGGGAGAAATCCCGGGGGGTACCGGGGAGAAATCCCGGGGGCTAACGGGGAGAAATCCCGGGGGATACCGGGGAGAAATCCCGGGGGCTAACGGGGAGAAATCTCGTTGGGTAACGGGGAGAAATCCCGGGGGCTAACGGGGAGAAATCCCGGGGGGTACCGGGGAGAACTCTCGTTGGGTACCGGGGAGAAATCCCGGGGGGTACCGGGGAGAAATCTCGTTGGGTAACGGGGAGAAATCCCGGGGGATACCGGGGAGAAATCCCGGGGGATACCGGGGAGAAATTCCGGGGGGTACCGGGGAGAAATCTCGTTGGGTAACGGGGAGAAATCCCGGGGGGTACCGGGGAGAAATCCCGGGGGCTAACGGGGAGAAATCCCGGGGGGATCCCGGGTGGGTTTGGAGCTGATCTCAGGGTGAGTTTTGGGGTGGATTTGGGGTCAGTCCTGCTGGGTTTGGGTTTGATTCTGTGGCTGGTTTGGGGCTGATTTTGGGGTGGTTTTGGGGCTGATTTTGGGGTGATTTGGGGTGGTTTTGGGGCTGATTTCGGGGTGGTTTTGGGGCTGATTTTGGGGTTGTTTTGGGGTGGATTTGGGGCTGATTTTGGGGTGGTTTTGGGGCTGATTTTGGGGTGATTTGGGGTAGTTTTGGGGCTGATTTCGGGGTGGTTTTGGGGCTGATTTCGGGGTGGTTTTGGGGCTGATTTTGGGGTTGGTTTGGGGTGGTTTTGGGGCTGATTTTGGGGTGGTTTTGGGGCTGATTTTGGGGTGATTTGGGGTGGATTTGGGGCTGATCCGGGCCCCGGGCACTGCCCAGGTTTGTGCAGTACAAGGCCACGTCCCTGGAGAAGCAGCACAAGCACGACCTGCTGACAGAGCCGGACCTGGGCGTCACCATCGACCTCATCAACCCCGACACGTACCGCATCGACCCGGGCGGTGAGCATGGGCCCCAAAACTGCCCCAAAACTGTCCCAAAAATCTGCCCCAGAGCTGACCCAAAACAGCCCCCAAACTGTCCCAAAACTGCCCCAATACTGCCCCAAAACTGACCCAGAACTGTCCCAAAAATCTGCCCCAGAGCTGACCCAAAACTGACCCAAAACTCTGCCCAAAACTGACCCAAAAATCTGCCCCCAAACTGCCCTAGAGCTGACCCAAAAATCCGCCCCAAAACTGTCCCAAAATTGCCCCAAAAATCTGCCCCAAAACTGCCCCAAAACTCTGACCCTGTTTTGGGGTTGCTGACTCCGTTTTGGGGTCCCCCCGTTCCCGCAGTGCTGCTGGACGCCGCTGACGAGAAGCTGCTGGAGGAAGAGATCCAGGCCCCCACCAGCTCCAAGAGGTGGGGCCCCCACGGGGTGCCCCAAAACTGCAATGGGGCGCCCCAAAACCCAAATGGGGCGCCCCAAAACCCAAATGGGGCACCCCAAAACCCAAATGGGGCACCCCAAAACCCAAATGGGGCACCCCAAAACCCAAATGGGCGCCCCAAAACTGCCTCGGGTGCCTCAAAACCCAAATGGGCGCCGCAAAACTGCCCAGGGGGGTTCCCCAGACCCCAAACCTCGTTTTGGGGTGCCCCAAACACCTGGGGAACGTTCTGGGGTGGTTTTGGGGGTGATCCTGGGTGGTTTTGGGCCCATTTCGGGCCCATTTCAGTGGTTTTTGGGGCTGCAGGTCACAGGAGCACACCAAGGCAGTTTTGGGGCGGTTTTGGGCTGTTTTTGGTGAATTTTGGGGCTGCAGATCACAGCAGCACGCCAAGGTGGTTTTGGGGCAGTTTTGGGGCAGTTTTGGGCTGTTTTTGGTGAATTTTGGGGCTGCAGATCACAGCAGCACGCCAAGGTGGTGCCCTGGATGCGCAAGACCGAGTACATCTCCACCGAGTTCAATCGCTACGGGGTGAGCAACGAGAAACCCGAGGTCAAGTGAGTGCTCCGGGGATTTTGGGGGGTTCTGGGGATTTTGGGGTGGTATTGGGGCTTTTGGGGGGGTTCTGGGGTTTTTGAGGGGGTTTTGAGTGGGGGTTTTGTGTTTTTGGAGGGGGTTTGGGGTTCGGGGATGGCCACAGAGGGGCTGGGGGTGATGGGGTTTGGGGTGATTTTGTGGCTGGGTTTTGGTGATTTTTGGGTGATTTTGGGGTGATTTAGGGCTGTGTTTTGGGGTGGTTTTGGGTGATTTTGGGGAGTGATTCTGGGGTGATTTTGAGGGTGACGTGGAGATTGTTTTGGGGTGGTTTTGGGGAGATTTTGAGGGTGATGTAGGGAGTGTTTTGGGATAATTCTGGGATGATTTTGGGGAGATTTTGGGCTGACTTTGGGGAGATTTTGGGGAGATTTTGGGGTGACTTTGGGGCATTTGGCAGGATCGGGGTGTCGGTGAAGCAGCAGTTTACTGAGGAGGAGATCTACAAGGACAGGGACAGTCAGATCGCGGCCATCGAGAAAACCTTCGAGGACGCCCAGAAACCGGTCGGGGTTTGGGCATTTTGGGGCACTTTGGGGCATTTTGGGGAATTTTGGGAGGAGGGTTTTGGGTTTGTTTGGGGCCTGATTTTTTGGGAGGTTTGGGGGCGATTTCGGGGTTTTTTCGGGTGGCTTGGGGCTCATTTTAGGGGTTATTTGGGGAGGGGTTCAGGTGTTTGTTGTGAGGCGGCTTTGGGGGGTTCTGCGGTGGTTTTGGGGTGAGTTTGGCATAATTTGGGGTTCTCTGGGGCTGTTTGGTCCCTGAGCAGATCACGCAGCACTACAGCAAACCCCGGGTGACCCCGCTGGAGGTGATGCCCGTGTTCCCCGACTTCAAGGTGGGTTTGGGGGCCCCCAGCCCCTTTTACCCCCCCTAAGCTCCAAATATCCCCCCCAAAATTGCAATATTCCTCCTCCAAACCCCACGATTCCCCAGATGTGGATCAACCCTTGTGCCCAAGTGATTTTTGACTCGGACCCAGCCCCCAAGGACACCTCGGGGGTGGCGGCGCTGGAGATGATGTCCCAGGCCATGATCAGGTGAGGGCACCCCAAAATTCCCCCTGGGCACCCCAAATTCCTCCCCAGGGGACCCCAAATGACTTTTAGGATCACCCCCAGCCCCTCAAATTGCCCCAGGTCCTCCCTCATCCAGCCCCTCCAGGGGACCCCAAACCCCATTTAGGGCCACCCCTTCAGGGACCTCCCCTGGCCCTTTTAGGATCACCCCCAGGGCCCCAAATTCCTCCCCAGGGAGCCCAAAATTCACCTGGGGAACCCAAATTCACCCCCAGGGATCCCAGAATTCCTCATGAGACCCCAAATTCCTCATGGGCACCCCAAAATTCTGACCTGGGACCCCAGAATCTCCCCCTGGACACCCCAAACACCCCCCTGGACACCCCAAACCCCTCCCTGGGCACCCCAAACCCCTCCCTGGACACCCCAAAGCCCCCGGGGACCCCCGCCCCGCTGACCCCGCTCCGCAGGGGGATGATGGATGAGGAGGGGAACCAGTTCGTGGCCTATTTCCTGCCCGTGGAGGAGACGCTGCGCAAGCGCAAGCGGGACCAGGAGGAGGATGTGGATTACGCCCCCGAGGACGTGTAAGGGGGACCCCAAAACCTCCCCAAAATCCTGGGGCGGGTCCCCAGGACGTGAGGGGATTGATAAAAAAAAAAATGAAATAAATCGGGGGGGGTTTAAGGCTCCGTTGGGGTTGTGGAGTGTGCTGGGAAAGGAAGGGAAATTTGGGGAGGAAATGGGGTTTTGGGGGGAATTTGGGATTGGGGGGGAATTTGGGACTGGGGGGGAATTTGGGATTGGGGGGGAATTTGGGACTGGGGGGCATCCCTGGAACTGGGGGTTCCCCGGGGGGGGGCTTTGGGGGCAGTTCTGGGCTCCCAAATCCCCGCAGGGAACGAACCCAAGACTCCCAAAGCTCCGGGAGGTTTTGGGGCAGAACTCTGGGATTTGGGGGGTTTTTGGGGGGTCCCGCGGCTCCCCCCCCCCCCCCCCCCCCCCCCCCGCGGCCCCCCCCAGGTACGACTACAAGATCGCCAGGGAGTACAACTGGAACGTGAAGAACAAGGCCAGCAAGGGCTACGAGGAGAATTATTTCTTCATCTTCCGCGAGGGCGACGGCGTCTACTACAACGAGCTGGAGACCCGGTGGGGCTGGGGGCACTGGGAGGGAACTGGGGGGCACTGGGAGGGACTGGGAGGGGGGACTGGGAGGGACTGGGGAGAACTGGGAGGGACTGGAGGGCACTGGGAGCTGCCTCAAGTCGCTGTTGGGGGCACTGGGAGATTCCCCGGTCAGTACTGGGGGCACTGGTTGGGCATTCAGAGGGTCTCGAGGATGCCCTGAGGGTCTGGGGGGTCCCCGAGGGGTCTGGGGGGGTTCCCGGGGGGTTTGGGGGGGGTCCTTTGTGGGTCCCTGACCCCCCCCCCACCCCAGGGTGCGGCTGAGCAAGCGCCGGGCGCGCGCCGGGGTCCAGTCGGGCACCAACGCCGTGCTGGTGGTGAAGCACCGCGACATGAACGAGAAGGAGCTGGAGGCGCAGGTGGGATTCGGGGAGGGGTCCCAACCCCCAGGGCCCCCCGGGACCCCCCCAGGGACCCCCCTGAGCCCCCTCCCCACCACAGGAGGCCCGGCGGGCGCAGCTGGAGAACCACGAGCCCGAGGAGGAGGAGGAGGAGGAGATGGAGGCCGAGAAGGAAACGCCGGGATCAGGTTTGGGGACACAAATGCCCCAAAATCCCACCCAAAATCCCCCCAAATCCCACCCAAAATCCCCCCTAAATCCCCATTTCCCCCCCAAAATCCCGCCAAATCCCACCCAAAACCCCCCCAAATCCCTGTTTCCCGCCCAAATCCCCATTTCCCACCCCAAATCCCATTTTCCACCCAAATCCCCCTCCCCACATCCCCCCAACCCCCTGGTCTGGGGGGTCTCACCCCACTGAGGACCCCCAACCCCCCGAGCAGACGAGGAGCGGGAGAAGGGCAGCGAGAGCGAGGAGGACGAGGCTGAAGGCTCCGGCTCGGGCTCGGAGCGCGGGGGGGGCTCGGCCCGCAGCGAGGATGAGGAGGAGGAGGAGGCCGAAGGAGCCCGGGGGGGCCGCCGGGGGGGCAGCGACGCCGCTCGGGCCGCCCGGGACCAGGAGGAGATTTTCGGCAGCGACAACGACGAGGATGAGGAGGAGGAGGAGGAAGAGGAAGAGGAGGAGGAGGAGGAGGAGGAAGGCAGCGAGGGCGGGGGGCCGGCGCCCCGCAGCCCCCAGCTCAGCCCCAGCGAGGAGGAGGAGGATGAGGAAGAAGAGGAGGAGGAGGAAAGCGCCAGCGAAGGCTCCGAGTCCTCCAGCGAGTGAGGAGGGCGTGACCCCCTCCCGCCCCTCCCCAAAATCCCACCCCACGCCCCCCGGCCCCGTTTTGGGGGAAAAAAGCAGCGTCTCGGGGCGGTTTTTGTGTTTAATAAGGTCAATGGTTACCAACCGTATCGTAACAAAAGGATTCATAATAAAATGTATCTAAAATAACGATTTTTGTCTTTCTATTTCGGGGCCGCAGCGCTACAAAGGGGTGGGG